TGTGTGATGTGTGCGTGTGTGTGTGTGTACGTGTGTATGCGTGGACGCATATATGTATGCAGGCATGCATGCATGTCTGGTCTGGTATGTCTGCATGTCTGTATGTCTGTCTGTCCGTCTGGCAGGCTGGCTGGCTGGTTGGCTGTGTGTCTGCCTGCATGCATGTATGCATGTACGTATGTACGTATGTATGTATGTACGTATGTATATGAAATGTATGTATGTATGTATGTATGTATGTATGTATGTATGTATGTATGTATGTGTATATATATATATACATATATGAAAACCACGGAATGGGATAGGTTAAACACCAGAAAACTCTTGTCTGACTATTCAGGCTAGAGAGGCTTGAAGGGTCGCAGAAGATTTGGTTACAGCCTCTTGAACTACACGCTGGGTCTTGCACTGCACTTCAGGCGCTGTGGGTTTAGGGTCTAGGGTTTTAGGGTTTTAGGGTTTTAGGGTTTTAGGGTTTTAGGGTTTTAGGGTTTAGGGTTTAGGGTTTTAGGGTTTTAAGGTTTAGGGTTTAGGGTGACATGCCACGGGGTTCGCACAGGAGCCAAAGGGCATGCAGGCCCGTAAGAGCTTTTGGGCCCACAGCAGAGCGAAGCCTGTACAGTTAAGCCATGGGGTGCGGCGGAAGCCGCACTAGGCGGCGCGCGACAGTCTTCTACGTGCCCAAGACCTTTCCGGTACCTCGGAAGGACGCACTGCCACCAGACGCTGCTACACACCAGCTCTATGTTCAGCAGCTCCATCTGTACCTCATCCGTGTCGCGCAGAATCCACAGGCCTTCCAGATGAAGGTTGACCAGCGTCGTGAAACCTTCTTCGGCGACGCCTGGATCGTTTCTGCCACGTCGCAAGAACGCGTGCGTTTTGCGACGTTCCATTTGGCCTTGAACACGGCGAGCCCGGTGCTTGACTCTGAAGACTCCGAGGCCAACTGGCTCTCAGTTGGCCCGTGATTGCTTGAATGTTAAAGCTCATGGAAGCTGCACGGCATGCTGTGACAGGGTGGTAAAAAAGGGGCCTAAATAATTACCAATACTATTGTGGGAGGTTCCTTATCATGGCTATGTCATAATATGCCCCAAAACCCCAAGTATTAAGGCCCCATGTAGTCCTTTGCCAGCTTACTGCCTTGCTTCGTAAGAAGTCGTGTCTGGATCTGGTCAGTCGTGTCTGGATCTGGTCAGCTTTGACCGGCTTTGGCCCACTTGATACCAATGTAGTGTGGTCCAAAAAGGACACCTCAGCAGATGCAAGTAGATGTGCTGGCCTGAGCGATACAGTGGTCTGAAGGCTTAGTAATGGCATCACCTTACGATCCCTATCATCCCTGTGCAATCATACTACAATGAACCCGGAGCCCTTTTCTATTTCGCCGACCCATTTTGGATTTTCAAGCAGATCTCAGGCAGACTTGTCTGGAGACGTCTCAAAGCGGCTTCATCCACGGCCGACCCTCCCCACGGTTGCGCCCCAAACGGGGTAGCCTCCTGAGAGTACCCTTCCACTTCCTTTCGCGGATGACATGCAGGTGCGATAGAAACTGAAGGCATGGGATAGGCTTTCGGTTCGTAGTGTCATTTCATGTCTGCGATGGAAGGACTTTCCCATTATTCTCTAAGCAGGTGCATTTTTTGGGCAGCGCTGAAAAGTGCCACTTGTCAGCTAGGTTGTGTTTGGAGAACTTGCAGCTGATGAACGTCAAAGGCTCTCCCAAAATCTCACATTCATCCAGCCTGGATCGGATGCTTTCGGTGGTATCAGTCGTGAGACTTCGGTAGCTTATGACTTATAGAGTCCGAGTCGTGGTGATTTGCAGGCACAGGCGGAACACCAAACCCGAAAGGTGGATTTCGGGCTCTCGCGAAGGGGTCCATTCCAAGTCCCCGAAATGCCGAAGAGCGTCAGGAGCGCTATCCACTTGCAAATTCTACGGATTTCGGTATTTCGGGCCTTGTGCCGTAAGAACTCATCAACACAGTTCCTCTTTCGTAGTCTGGTGCTCATCGCAGTTATGCCACCGTATGAACCGATGAACCGATAAGCCTACACCGACGCTTCCAGATCAACCAGCAGAACCCTGAGGCGCAAGCCAAAACCCTCAATCCTGCACCTTATAGGGTTTAGGAGTTTAGGGTTTAGGGTAAAGGAGTTTAGGGTTTATCATGAAACCTGAGCCCAATCCCTATCCTTTGATTCCTCGAACTACAGCTCTAAAGCCCTGGTTTTTTGCCGGAACCCGTTACCCTAAACCCCTAACCCCTAAACCGTAGACCCCCCCCAAAGCTTTCAGGAACATCGCCACGGAGCAGACGGAGCTGCGGAAGATCCAACAGGCGCTGCCTCGTTCGGTTTGGGGGTTTAGGGTTTAGGGTTTGGGGTTTGGGGTTTAGGGTTCAGGGTTTGGGTTTCGGGTTTAGGGTTTCGGGTTTGGGGTTTAGGGTTTAGGGTTTGGGGTTTAGGGTTTAGGGTTTGGGGTTTAGGCTTTCAGAACGGCATTGCAGGTCATGCAGGTAATTGAAGCTGTCTTGTCTTGGGCAAACCTCTACAGGAGAGTGACTTGGAGGTTCATGGGTATTTATAAGTGGGGTTATAAGTCCCCTAATATAGGTTATAACTACAGTTACCCGACTTACAACTCCACTTATAACTACCCATGAACCTCCAAGCACCACAAGGGGACCCTGTAGGTATATGAATGCTCT